TAAATTTGATAAAATTGTATAACAAAAACTCGCGCGATGCGCGAATCATATTCTAGTAAATTATAAAAATTGGGAAGAAAACTTGAATCACCATGAAAACTCCAAACATATTCAATAATAATTAAAAAAAGAAAAAAAACCGTCAGAATACCAAAAATCTCAAAAATTCAATACCTGATCTCTTTGTATATGTTTGGATATGTTTCAACTTGGCTTTACAAAATCAAATTGTTGTGTTTTCTGTAATACCTTTGTGAGCCTCTATCTCTTAAACTGGTTTAATAATCATATATATGCATTATATACTAGATTTTCTCTACAAATGAAGGAAAAGATAATATAAAAAAAGTTCATACAATAAATATGTTTTATAAATTTCCCTTTTAAGTAGACACTTAAGAAGAAAGAAAGAGGTATAAAAGGAAAATGCAAAACAGTTTTGAAATTGAAAAAAAATATTATATCAAATAATATGTTTTTCCTTAATAGCAATAAAACCAAAAGTAGTTACAGGGATTCAACTAATCTTTTCCATTTTGATTAAATACAACAATTCAAATTCTATGAATTGTCATTTGCCATTTGGTGCATTAATGTTTTTGCATTGTATTTAAAATAGTTGGTTAATGTGTGACCTGCAAACAGTAGCGTAAAAGTTCTCATTCTTTTAAGAGAAATTTTGAGAAATACCACGTTTGCGATGCCACTTTTCAAAAATGCCACTTTTTCAAAATTATTTATCAATATATCATTTATGTTTGGGTTAACTATGTTATATTAGAGTTTAGTTTATGGTTTGTTAGAGGTCAACGCATTTTCTAGGGTTTAGAATTTTAAGATTTAGGGGCTAAAATTTTTTAATTAGTGGTATTTTTGTAAAGATTCTAAAAAACTGGCATTTTTGCAATTGTCCCTTCTGTTAATAGATTTTGTTTCTTAATTTTCCATTTTTATGTTTTATAGTTTCTTTACTAATTCATTATTTTCCCCAATTTGTATGCATGTTTGAGTCTTTGTTTCTCATA